CCACAAGCCTATTAAACTCTAAGGCCATTCTAAGACCGTTGTTTTGACATCCTCCCACTTCTTCAAAAGATGTCTAATAGCAGATATCGGCATTAATCCTCTTTTTCAGAAAATAACATATCTTGCCTAGTTTCTTGGCGTTCTTCTGCCATCAGATCAGTTTTAGGTTCCATTATGAACTCTTCGATGTTCTTTATTTCTCAGATGTGAATTTTGTTACTTCTTAAGCTGCTTGAGTCTTCTTGATAATACTGTATCTTTTTTAGATAAGATTGAACTGCAGCCTAATGTAGACCTGTTCAATCCATATTGCACAGCAACATCTGTCCACTTATACCTTTGCTATTATACTCTCATCTTTCGAAAAGAAAAACAGACGCAAAACTTAACAAATGCCTACCTGACAGACTCAGGGAGAGTTCTCTACAAGGAGAGGACTCTACAAGGGAGAGTTTCAAAATTTGAAGGAATACTATCCGATCGGTATATACTGGCTTGAGTGTTGATGTCGATGTCTCCCACACTCTGAAAAGTTTCGAATTGTTGCCCGAAGACAAGGGAAGACCAATTGGTATTCATTATTTTACATCACTTCTGTGTTTGTTCTGTGGGGTGCTCGTTATCCGATCATGTGTTCATTGTCCGAACATAAAAATCTTTCGCAGAAGTGTTCATTATCCAATCTGTTTGTTAACTGATCACCCACTGTATGTTGGAATTCAGAAAGAGAACTAAGACATCTATGTAAAATTTTAAAAATGGAATCTCTTTTATTATGAGGGGCGTATATCGAAATGACTATTAAATTATACACAGAAAGTTTGATGGCAAGGATAGAATCAAGATATTCAAATACTTTTACAGGTTTGAGCAAGGGGGGAAAATCTAAAGGATTCCACCACCACGTTGAATATTAAGAGATAAAGCAATATGTGAATAACCCAAACTGTTAATAAAATTCAACACATCATCAGAGTTTGGGGTAAGCCAACTTTCCATTAATATAAATAAATCATAAAAATCATTAAGAATTGAGGCAAGGAACATGCATTTGTTATTAATGGACCTGATGTTTTGGACAAAAATTTTAAGATTTTTTGTTGAATACATTACAGGAGGAAAAAAAACAGGTGCTATGAACAAAGATGAAGGTGATGAGGAACTGTCAAAAATGTATAAACTAACAATAGATAAATCAATATATTATTATATAAAATAGATAGACTGAGCTTGCATATATCACGAGCAACAGATGATTAAAATAAAACCGTATTAAAAAATAGAAATGTATATTAAATACAATAAAAACAAAATAGAAATACCTGAAATGGTGTAAAATATATACGTTAACAAAATTGTGAAAATATGAACGTCTTTGCTCGTAGCATGCAAAAAAAATTATGTTAAAATATCTAAGAATGTATATATAAACATACACTTGAGCTTACAGAATTTATTCTGTATGTATACTCTGTATACAGGATGCATAGTAAAGTTCTTATACAGCCA